TAATTTTCTCTTGCCTCTTTATTTTACCTAGAATTTATCACTTGGAAAAGGAACTTTTAGGAAAACTTCGACCTACCATTTTGGTGACCGACATCATGCCTTTTTTTGTAGGCCTTGAAATGTCTTCCTTTTTTTAGGACTGTTTACATGCTATTAGTATTTCGTGACACTATAAAATGTATGATGGGTGAGGATTCACTCTAGTCTATAGCCCACATAGCTATGCACAACCAATTTGAGAGGATCACCATGGGTTTTATTCCTATTATTATTATTATTTGAAAAGTCATGGGATTGTATTTGATATGTATATTTCACCACCATGTGCTTTAAAACTGGAGTTTATTTAGTATGTGTATTTCAACAAATATTTAAGAGTTCGTGTGGTTTTGTGCTCTGTAGCTTTTAAGGAGACTTCTTTTGCTGAGATATATAATATATTCAATATTGGTACCCAAATTGAGAGGACCACCATGGGATGGTATGACACTGCAAACTGTGGTTTTGTTGGTATGCTATTGCTATGTTACCTAGGTGCTGGTAATCCAAAGCCGTACCCGTACCCGACACATACCCCTACCCAAACTCCTTGAATATATGGATACATATATTCAGGCGTGTACTCAATTATGTAATACATGCCTTAGTTTAACACTTTTCATACATTTCTGGATGTATTTCCTACACTTCACATCCACTTCTTGAAACTTGTTAGATATAGATCAAGATTCGAATTATGATTTTGAAGTGTTGCTTGGATGTCTAGTTAGAAAACTAGTACTTTTCCAATTTATAAGCCACATAATAAATGAAACATGAAAATGTTATATAAATTTTAATTCTCACCACTATTCTTATATAAATTATTAATTCCAATGTATAATATATGTGTATAATATATAGAAATATTTATAACTGTGTCCCCATACCCTACATTTCACAAATTTCCTGTCCTGTACACGTATCCATACCCGTACCCGTACCCGTGCAATATAGTTGGTATGTCTATTTCAGGAAATATTTAAGAAGTCATCTTTTGTTGTGTTGTATATCGTCTAAGAATATGTACATTTCATATCTTTTGAATGGAAAGTCATCAGCAGACTATTTTGCCAAAATGTATTTGATATCAGTACTCAAATTGAGAATGATATGTTTTATGATACATTTTCCTTGACATGTTGAAGTATCTTGGTTTAGGCTATACGCAACACTTCTCTATAGCATAAGAGATCATATTTTAGGCTAGGAGTTCTTAGGTGCTTATTGTGCTTTGTGGTGTGTGATCAGTAAAGTCAAGTCCACTGTCCACCTATGAACTGGGTTTGGCGATTTATGGGAAGCTTATAGATTGACTTGGCCCAAAATTCCATAAGCTTCGCAATTTATGCTATTTCATTGGGATATCATACATCCTGATTAAGTATTTCCCTTGGAGGCCACACATCTTGATATTGATCTCTCCCAAGCATATGCTTGATATGGAAATTTCTACTGACTCTCCTCCAAAAATGCTTACTACAATCAGTTCTCAAGTTCATAGGAATTATGTACGCCTGAGTTCCTTCCTTCTTGCAGATGTTCCCTGTGTAACTGTCAACCTGGGTGTGATACTTAAAACATCCTCAGCTTATTAACATGTGGCATGTTAGGGTGCCCCTCATGTCTCTGTGTATCATTGCCACACATTTCAGATGGGTGTTAATTCTGATACCTCTGATACCACACAATGCCCGAGGAAGGATTCCCTAGGAAGTCACTTATCCTAAAATCTCTTTGCTCCAAATGTTGCTTGAATATAGATATTTTTGCCCCTTTTAAAATTTGCTTGTTATATGATTAGTTCTTGGGTTCGTTGAAATTAATCAAATTATTTTAAACTGGAAACCATTCCTGTATCCTGTATGGGCCTATTGATGTAGAATCTAGCGTACACAATCCTTCCACAAAAGAAAAATACATATGAAACCTCAACTACATTGAGAATATGGTGGTGTTGCCAAAAACATTCCCATAAACGATGTAGGGTATGGCATCATGGGGTGGATCTCTATGGATTTGCTTTTTCCCTGTTCAAACTAAATCCATGATTATGGATTATCCGTATATAACTGCTTTGAGTACTAGTTTGTTGCATAATTTATAGTCATTTTTATCCAGCACAATGAGCAATGCGGATACTCTTATTTTGGCTTTTGCTATCCTTTCCCCACTACCATTTTATCATCCCATCCTCTCCCCGCCCAAAAGAAATGGATTGATATGTGTGTGCCTTTGCTTTTCTTTGCAGTCCGAAGTGTTTGCTGTTGCTTTTGCTGTCCTTGCAGCTGGTGCTATTATCCTCACATTGAATGTCCTGCTCCTGGTAAGCACCTCTTTAAAGGCTCAGTTCATTCCTCCTCCTTTTCTTTATATTTTCCAGCAAGTTTTGAGACCCCTTATTACTTCATCTCAGGGTGGGCACATTATCTTCTTTCAAAGTCTCAGTCTTCTTGGTTACTGCCTATTTCCTCTGGATATTGGAGCTCTGATCTGCTTGCTTAAGGATAACGTCATTGTGAAGATAGTTGTGGTGGCCGTAACATTAGCATGGAGCTCTTGGGCAGCATATCCATTCATGAGTGCAGCTGTCAATCCAAGGAGAAAGGCATTAGCCCTGTATCCAGTGTTTCTCATGTACATCTCTGTTGGTTTTTTGATCATTGCCATAGATTGAGGCATCAACAGCTTTGTTGTTATAATGGTGCCAATGCAAACGCTCTCATCTCTGGGAACTTTTCTCCTCACATCAAACCTTTTGTCTGCATATAGGTATAGAGGATGTTACTGTGTAATTTGACTTGTGGAGTACTCCGGCATGAAGTTGTCAATGTGATTGATATGAATATGTACTCTAAAATTTTCATTTCTGTTTGGAGAATTTTAGTACCCTCGGTGCTGCAGTTGTGATACTTGCCTAGCTTTTGTAGAAATTAGCAGAAGGAAACACTCTGAGACAAATTAATTGTTACATTCATAGTCTTGCTTTTCATTCTTTACAGGAGTTTATCCTTGGGTTCTCTTGATATTTGCTATTAAATCTGCTTGATGTACTATATTCCAGCATGAAATGATAAAGTGCTTGTTGTTTCATGGATTTCTTGTTCTATACATGCATTTTGTTCTGGGTAAAACTGATTGCGCCATTTTTTTTTTCTTTTTTTTTTTCCTTTCTAAATTATGGGTAGTATTCAGTGTTTTGTGTTGTTGGTTTCGTCGATATGATTTCGCCCCACTCATCTGATCAAATCTGTCTACTGGGTCAGACTTTCAGGTGGGTGTTTAGCATTCGCTTGTACACTCATATCGTCATGGTTGAGCTTCATTTTAGGATTGTGTAATATTTTCGCTTCATCTTTCCTTCTTTTTTACCAGATATTTTCAATCTTGAGCAAGGGGGTGCAGTTTTGTTTGCTTTTTAGAATCATTTGTTAAGTGTCAGCGACAAAATAGAATTCAGGTTTTCATTATATAGATACTCTGCTGCACATTTCTGTACTAGTTGTTACACAACATTTGTCATCTATTCGCAGTTGAAGAGGTTCATAATTTCAACGATTAGACGCTTTGTGGGTCTCATGAGTGTCTTTTCATTAGTGATCTTTGAATTGCTAAACACTAGTGTGTACCCCGTGCAAAACGGGCCCTTTTATGTTTCTGCTACAGTAATTTTTGTTTCACATGCTACAGTAATTTTTTGTAATCGCGAGTTATATTTTCACAATGGTACGGTATATGCTACAGTAATTCAATGTAGTATTAATAGTGAATCTTTGGATCCTCAAATATTGAGGAATATATGAGAAACCCCTGATCTAACTCTTGTGTTTCCAAAGACAAGGCTCTGTTTGGTCATACTTTTGATTAGCATCATGGTTTGTCCAACCAAGAGAAATAATGAGCAATAAGATATTTTTTTTCACCTGCAAGTTATTCCACTTGATTTTAGTGTTTGTTGTTACAAATATTTCCTTTGTTGTATACCTATCAATTTTTATTGCCAAACATTTCATCTTTCATCCAAATAGAGCATGTAAATCAATTGGATAAAGTAGATATGTTATTCCAACTGGGGGGGGATTATGAACCGAGTTGATTTATTTATCCTGTACCTTCCCATTGGCAAAGAGGCCCCCAGGTTATAAGGCCTTAAAAACTTAAAAATAAGACTCTTGATTTCAAATCGGGATTTGGATCCTCTCCACTGCAAAAAAATTATGGATGAACCACTAGTTTTGATCGTAACCATTAATACCTAATGGATAATTATGATCTGTTTTAAATTTAACACTCATTATACCTCCATGAATTGCATTAATTCTTAATTTGCGCTCAGAGAGAAATCATCATCACCCACTAGATAGTTAATGATTATAATAATGAAGTGATCTTTCCACTGCCTTTTTATAGTGGAGAGGATCCAAATTTGTTCAACGCACTTTTAGCGTGCCAATGATAGCTTCTTTCAGTTGCAGTATACACCTAAGTTCTTCTAATGGTAAGTACGAATTACAGGGCAAAATAAGCAAGGATTTTCTTTTACAGCACAAGTTGCATATTCGTAAACATCCTTAAGTTCATATGGAAGCAAGTTTGGCTAAAAAGTTATGAGACATGATTCTCACATGAACCCACATCCTTCACTTAGAATGAAATTTAGACTAATAACATCAACGCGAAGTTGATCCTACAGTTCTATCTTAAAGTTCTTTGACATGCAAAAGACCAAGGAATTTGCTGATAAACCGGAAAGGAATCACAGAAACAAGATACCCGTGAAAGAATAAGATATACATAAAATTAAACCAAATATATGGTTAGAACAACCAAGGCTCCTGAGCACATCTAGTAATGATATCAACATAAAAACAACATCAAATCCAAAAAGTTTAGCATAAATATTCAAAATATTCTGCAAGCAATCTATTATTATTATTAATTATTAAAAAAACATCGCAAGATTTGAGGAAGCCACATAACTATTAGTTCAAATTTCCCAAATAAACTCTTCATGAGCAAGCTCAAAGGTAGCATAATCCACATCCAGCAAGAAAAGGGATTAATAGCATCAAACAAAGACTAGGAAACTAAGGAGTCTCAGATTCAAGTATCTCAAACAACAAAACTGGTTCTATCTGCAAACAAAGACTAGGAAACTAAGGAGTCTCAGATTCAAGTATCTCAAACAACAAAACTGGTTCTATCTGGAAGCATCCTGATCCAAATGCACTGCCTAAGCCTTGAGCCTTCCATAAAACTTCTGCTTCTCCTCCGTAGTCTGGAAGCGACCGTGCCCAAACTTGGATGAAGTGTCGATGAACTTGAGCTTGATTTCCTCAAGAGCCAATCGAGAGGTCTGTTTCAACAGGGACTGGCGAAGAGTGACAACTCTCTTTTTGGGCCCAACACAGCAACCCTTGATCAAAATATAGTCATCCTTCACAACACCATAGTGAGGGAACCCTCCCATAGGAGTAATATCCTTATCAGTCCTGTTAAGCAGTAACCCAGATGAAACACCAATTAATATCATAATTGCCACCAATGAATAGATAAAGTTGCATTAAAAGTGTGTAAATTTCACAAAACTCCCCCTGAACTTTGGAGGGCTTTTGCACAGCCTTTATGAACGTTATCATAGAAGACACCTCTCCAACTTTTCTCACTTTCGTATACCATGAATGACAGATGTTACTTTAACTTTTTGACAATTCTGCCCTCATTTACTAAATAATCAGTACTAACTAAAAGGGTAACTTAACCAACCCACCCCACCCCACCCCCCACCCAAAAAAAACAAGCAAAAAATGCCTTGCAATTGGAGGACTGGGGGTCTTATGAAATTTACG